TAGTTTGAAAAGTTGAAGTAGTGTAAGTAGCTTGATAAGTTGAAATAGTTACATTCTTATTTTTATAATTTTTACGTTTTAAAATATAATTTCTTAATTATAATATGATATATAAAAAGAATTAAAATTAATTTTAAGATGTATTCTGAGTGCATTTATATGTGCGAGTATTTCTATTCTATTCTATCACTAATTTTATTCTAACTTTTTAAATATTGAAGAAAAAAAATAAAGAGTTAAATTGTTAGTTAGATGGAAAAAATGAATGAAGAAAATAAATGAAATAATAAAAAATTAATTAAGAACAAAAACAAAAGTTAAAAATGAAAAAATCAATTCAATTAACAAACAAAAAAAACACAAACAGAATAAAATAAAAAAAAATAAATCAAATAAAAAGCTAATAAGCAAGATTGATATTAAAACTAAAATATCACAATTAAAAAACAAATATTTTTTTTTTACTATAGATCAAGTGTCAAGTTTTAGAGATTAATGCACTATCCTAAACCAGAACCTAAAACTGATGCACCTTTATCACTAATTTTATTCTCACTTTTTAAATATTGAAAAAAAAAAGAGTTAAATTGTTAGTTAGATGGAAAAAATGAAGAAAATAAATGAAATAATAAGAAATTAATTAATAACAAAAACAAAAGTTAAACATGAAAAAATCAGTTCAATTAACAAACAGAATAAAATAAAAAATAATAAATCAAATAAAAAGCTAATAAGTAAGATTGATATTAAAACTAAAATATCACAATTAAAAAACAAATTATTTTTTTTTACTTTAGATCAAGTGCCAAGTTTTAGAGATTAATGCACAATCCTAAACCAGAACCTAAATCTGATGCACCAGTTGCACCAATTTAATTTTCACTTTTTCAATATAGAAAAAATATTTTTAGTTAATTAGTTAGATAGAAGAAAAAAATGAAATAATAAGAAATTAGTAAATTAATGATAAAAGCAAAAGTTTTAAAAGAAAAAATCAGTCAAATTAACTAACAAAGAGATAAATAAAAAAAACATAAGCAGAATAAATAAAGAAGAATAAATCAAATAAAAAGCTAATAAATTAATCAAAAGAGTTAGTTAGTTAGTTATATTGTTTTAAATTCATTTTTATATTCAAAACATCATAATTCAAAATAAATAAATAAACTATCTTTACCTAAGATCAAGTTCCAAATTTGAGAGATTACTGCACTTTCCTAAATAAGAACCTAAACTTGATACACCAAATGAACAAATTTGATTGTCACTTTTTAAATATTGAAGAAAAAATAAATAGTTAATTTGTTAGTTAGAAGGAAAAAATGAAAAAAAAATTGAAATAATAAGAAATTAATTAATAATAATAAAAACGAAAGTTGAAAATAAAAAAAATTGTTAAATTAACAAAGAAATAAATAAATAAAAAGAAACACAAGCAGCATTAATAACAAATGAAAGGAAATCAAATAAAAAGCTCATAAATAAATTAATAGAATTAGTTGTATTGTTTTAAGTTCATTTTATATTAAAAAATATCACAATTATAATTTAAATAAACTGTTTTTACCTTAGGGTAAGTCTCAAATTAGAGAGATTAATGCACTTTCCTAAACCAAAACCTAAGTCTACTACACCAATTGAACTAATTTAATTATTGCTTTTTAAATATTGAACAAAAAATATATTGTTAATTAGTTAGTTAGAAGAAAAAAACGAACGAAGAATAAAATAATAAGAAATAAATTGATTAATTAATAGCAAAAACAAAATTTGAAAATGAAAAAATGAGTTAAATTAACAAATAAACAAACAGATAAATAAAGAAATAATTAATTAAAAAAAGAAAAATAAATACCAAGCTAGCTAAAAAATCAATTAAAAGAGTTATTTATTTGGTTTGAATGCATTATAATACTAAAAATATCACAATTCTAAACAAATAAAATATTTTTACGATAGAAAAAGTTGCAAATTTGAGAGATTAGTGCACTTTTCTAAAAACAGACCTAAGCCTTTTACTCCTTAATCGCCAATTTTATTGTTCCTTTTTAAATATTGTAGAATAAATATATATTTAATTAATTAGTTGAAAGGAAAAATGAAGAAAGAATATCAAATAATAAGAAATAAATGCATTAATTAATAATAAAAGCAAAATTTGAATATGAAAAAATTAATTAAATTAACAAAAATACAAAGAAATAAATAAAGAATAAACATAAGTAGAATAAATAAAAATAGAAAAATAAATCAAATAAAAAGCTAATAAATAAATAAATAAATTAACAGAGTTAGTTAGTAATATTGTTTTAAATTCATTTTTATATTCAAAAACATCACAATTTAAAACAAATAAATAAATTATTTTTACTTTAGAACAAGTGCCAATTTTGAGAGATTACTGCAGTTTCCTAATCCTTAACATAAACCTAATACACCTTCATCACCAATTTTTTTGTTCCTTATTAAATATTAAAAAAAAGTATATAGTTAAAGTTAGTTAGATGAAAAAAATGATTAATTAATTAATTATATAAGCAAAAGTTGAAAATGAAAAAATAAATGAGTTAGTTACATTAACAAAATACAAAGAAATAAATAAAAAATAAACACAAGTAAAATAAAAGAATAAACAAATAAATAAATAAAATAAAAGGCTAATAAATAAATAAATTAAAAGAGTTAACTATATTGTTTAAACTCATTTTTATATTCAAAAATATCACAATTACAATAAAAATAAACTGTTTTTACTTTATATTAAGCGTCAAATTTGTGAGATTAGTGCACTTTCCTAAACCAGAACCTAAGCTTGACACACCAATTGCATCAATTTCTTAAAACCTTTTTAAATATTGAACAAATTAGTTAGTTAGGAAAAATGAAGAAAAAATATCAAAAATAAATAATGAAAAACTAAAGTAAAATTGAATAAAAGTTAAGTTAACATAGTTAAAAAATAATTGTATATTAAAAGTGAATGAACATAGATGATAATTTGAATTAGAAAAATAATATAGTAAATAAGATGAAAATTAAATATAAAAAAACATTAATAATAATAATATATATAAATCAAATGTACATATTAGTCAGATTAATATGGATAGTCAATTAGGATGAAAATGAAGAGCTTAAAAACTTTTATTTTATTAATAAAAATATTTAAATAATATTAATAAAAGATAAATATTTACTTTTTCTAGATCGTTAAAATAGTTATTCTATTATATCATTTATTTTTACTTTTTTCTAAAATAATGAATATCAATTAATGGAAATTTAATTAAATATAAATAAGTATTTTCATAAATTAATTAACTTTTATATCAAATTATTTAGGGTAAAAAGAACAAACAAATTTTAATAATATCAAATACAAATTTAGCTTTAACGAAGAGATATAACTAAAAAGTTAAAAGCTAGTGAAACATCAATTATTAATTTTTTATATTTTTATTAAAAACTTAAACTTATAAACATATTAGGAATCAAAGATGAGTAGCTAGCTAGCTAGCTAGCTATATGTTGATAAAATTCTATTAATTAAATACTTAAATTTTGATAAAATAATTTTAATATATTAGATTATACTGTTTTAATCCAGTACAGTAACAAAAGTGAATATTAATATATAAGGGATAGTTGAATGATGATTGATGAGGTTTGGAGTAAATATTTTATCATTTTTTAGTTGAATTTAAAAATTTTGATGTAAAAAAATTATGTATTTTTGAAATTATAATAAATTAAAATATTAATTTTAATTCTATTATAAAATATCAAAATCTGATTTTTTAGTAAATAATTAAAAAATCTATTTCATTTTAAGTTAATTCCAAACGACGGAATTTTTTAATGGCATCTTGCTATAAATTAATTATAAGTTTTAGAAAAACAGTTCATTTTGATCATTTAAAAATAGTAATATTAATAATTTATAATTAATATAATGAATTTAAAACCATCTGACTATTCACCAGTAAAAATTAACTTTAAATTAGACCATTGACAGAAGTATAGTTTGCAAAAATTAAAATGGAATATAAACATTTTCACTAAAAGAAAAGAAATCTAACTTATTGAATTGAGTAAATTCATAATTAACTTTTTAAAATGTAATATTTAATGTTTGTTTGAAAAGATAATAAAACTTATTTATAGCATTTTTCTTTTTTAGAATTGAATGATTGGTTTTTATGTTAACCCAAGGGTTTTTTGATTTCTTTTACATTTTTTTATGGTTTCAAAGTCTTTGGTAATTACATAAAAAAACCTTTATTTATTTACTGAATGCAAATTAATTAATTGATATCACTTATCTATAATTATTATTGATAGATTTAAGGAAATTAGCTTATGGATTGTTTTAAAAGTTTTATCTGATTAAAAAATATAGTAAAAAAAATAAAGAGATAAAATGAACTAATAAATGAATTAATAAACGAAATCCACAAAAGAATTTAATATTTAGAGTAAATATTGCTACCAAAGATTTGAATTAAAAGCTTTTTATGCTCATGAAATGAATAAAATTGTTAGCCCTTTAGCTCTTAGCAAAATTGTATCAATAATATTATTAGTAATATGCTAGCTAACAATTCTCTCATTTCTCTATAAAAATGAGAACTATTACGCGAATTTTTAAGAATAGATTTATAAAAATCAAAACTAGAGACTGTATTAAATTTCTAATTTCATACAATACCTATAAGTTCTACCTTTTGTATAAGATTACTTGAAACCATCTAGTTGTTATCTAACTTATCTTGTCCTTTTCTCCTTTATATTAAATTGCCTCTATGTTAACTCAATATTATTTATATTTATTTTTAGATAAGTAGAAATTAAGAAATATCTGTAATAATATTGCTAGATGCTCACAACAATCTATAACAAATGGCTATTTTATTCATTTCTTAGCTTATCACTGAGCTTGATCTTTAAAGAAAGCGAAAAAATTTCTTCATATATTGCAATTATTTCATATTTTAACACCATTTTAACTCTAGTAATAGGTAAAGCCATTAATTTTTTGATTAGTATATATTAAAATTAATTCTGCCTCAGTATCATAAATTGTATGGTCGTAATTAAAATAATAATAAAAATAAACATATTTTTGTTTAATTATCAAATAAGGCTTAACTTAGCAAACTTAATTTAATCATTCAATCAATTTTTATTTGACTTTTTAAGTATTTTCTAAGAATTTATATATTAATTTATTTTTAAAAGGTTACTTGGTTGAATTTCATGATTTCAGTTTTTCATTTAATGATTCTACTAATTATCTAGCCAAGCAATATAGCCATTCTGGGTTGATTTTAATTTTTTTAAGGACTATTCTTATTTGCATTAATTAATACTATGATCACAAAATACTTGCTATATATTGTTCTCTATACTTCTTTATTGAAATTGCTAATTCTATTGTTAACCGTCAATATTTATCAAATGATATTAATTAAATTTACATTATGTTATCTATTTCTTCATTTTAAATATCAATATGTTGCTTGCTCCAAATTTATGCTTTTAATCGATTAGATATTATTCTCGTATGCATACTCACTATTCCGCTATCCATTATGCTTATAAGATATTTGTAACAATAACATAACCAGTACTTACTGCATTAATTTTACAATATCCAATTGTTATTTTAATGTAACAAAGAACATTTTTAGAAAATATTTAGGCTAATACACTAATAAGCATAAAGTAACTCAAATAATTTAATATTTTAGGATAAATAAATAGTTTTTGAAAGTATTGTCAATTCGCACTAACAATATTGCTCTGCCTATGACTAAAATTGTTTTTGTCTTAGATTCAAAAAGCCTGTAATATTTATTTGTTTGATTTAAATTATTTCAGTCTTTTATTGGCTGTAATTTACAGCTTAATACATGATAATTAACTAATAATTCACAAAAAATCATCTAATTTCAACTTTATTTCATTCAAAAACTTTAATAAAATCTTACACTATTAAATTTTTAAAAATATCAAAATTTTTTCTATTATATTAAAGGAAGTAAATTCTTAAATAAATGCTGAGGAAGCAACTGAAAAGCATTCTAAAAAAGAATTCCTTGAAAAAATACTTTTTTATACAATTGAAAAATATATTTAGAATTACTAAAGAAATGATAAACATGAAAATGTTATCACCCTAAGATTGGTGTAGCTCAACTATCTATTTGAGATAACAAAAGACCCTATATAAGTTCTGATAAATCTACAATAAATTTCATAATAATTTATCAAAACAAAGAAAATGAAATCTTCTTAAATATTTTACTTTTATATGCTCAAAGAGAGAATTTTGAAATACTATGATGATACTCTTTTCAATTCAAATATAGAAAACTAAAAAATTAATATGATGGATGCCATTCATTTTGGTGATAAAATTAATTCATGTAAAGAAAAGCTTAGATCTGCTTTAGTCTAGAGTGGCTAATTTTATGATTTACTTTGCAGAGACTATATTCCTCTAAAGTCTATTGAAGATTTATCTTACCCATTGCTAGAATTAAAGTAAGATTTAGAGTCAGATTTTGTAGAGCTTTTCAAAATAAATCCAAATGATTTAGATCTTTAGTATTAAGCATGCATTTTTATTTAAGTTTTAGACTTTTAAAACAGAAAAATTCTAGAATTTTAGCAAGAGGCTTTTCGTAGTTTAGAACTTTCCCAAAAGCAAAAAAACTTTAAGTGTAAATATTTGTTATAAAACTATTTCTCAAGATAAAATTGTGTTGTTTTTTCTTCACTTTTAAAAAACACCTTCTCCATTAATTTAGTTTCGAATTCTTTTTCAAATATTTTTGGTATCAAGCCCGATATAGTGATAGGAAAATAATTAAATATACTAATTCCTATGGCAATAAAAAAAGATCACAGTAAAATGATATAAAATTTTATTGATAGAGACTCCATGAAAATAATTGAAAAAGGTATATTTAGTTTTTATTAATTTGGGTTTTTACTTTAATACTTATCTTAAAATAGGTGAAAGGAGTGCATTTGCCTTAGATCAGAATGGATTTGTTTTTCCTATATCATTAAGAATCAAGATAGAAATATTAGCTGAGGATGTTGGGACTTGTACATTAATATCAAGGATAAGTAATCAAAAATAGTATATTCTATTTGAAGATGATGGAAGTATTACTGATTACTCTAAAAAATTATATACCGACTTTTTTCGTACTACAGAAAGGAAAACAGGTAACATAAATTAATTATTTTAAAACTATAATGCATATCTAATTAAAATTCCTTACAAAAGTTTTAAGAGTAACAATAAATAAGGAATTACAGTATTTAAAGATATCCATCAGAATTCATCCATAATTTATTTAATTAAACATGAGCATTTTATTAGTGTCAATTTATAGTTTTAGAATGCAAATAAAATCAAGGAGTTTTCCATCAAATTTTCAGTTTTATTTATTTTAGTTTAGTTTGATTATTTTCATTTATTAAGCATTTAATGCATTTTACATATAAATTAATTAGATGATAACCTAAACATATTTAACATGGTCCCAAATCTTAAAGAAATAATATAGAAAAAGTAATTGTTTACTCAATTTTGTAGTATTTTGATAGTTAAATAGTAACAAGATAAAAAAGCGAAGTCGTAAAACATTTAAGAATACCTACTATACACTCCTTATAGCAATTTAAATAATATTTATTCTTTGAATGATGATATATTTATAATCAATTTTAAAGTGTGTTAGAACTAAACTTAAATTAATGTTAATGTGAATTATGTAGAAATAGATAATTATGAAAAAGAAACAAATTTAAGCAAGAAAAATAAAATTATAGATGAATTGAATAAGTAATTAATTTATAGAGAAATTCATAATAATTTAAATAAACCTATAAACAAAAATATCGAGACTTTAAATTCAATTCAACATAATTCATCTGATAGATAAATTTCGTTAAATTTAGATACTAATAATAGCATTTTCTAAAAAAACTTGTTAGAAGACTAAAAATATTAAAAAGCAAACAAATGGAGCAGTTTTAAAATAAGCAATTAAGAAATGAAAGAAATAGAGTAAAATTTAAATTCAAAACAAGAAAATAAAGAAGAAACTGTAACAAAATCCTTTTCTGAGTTAATGAGTACAAATAGATATAGTTAAAGGCAAGAATTTTATGAGAATCAAGCTCATAGCATGGACTAGATAAATTAAAATGGTCACAGCTTTGATATTACATCTTAGAGAAATAATAATGTAAACGAGAGTAAATAG